ATGATAAATGCCCTGAAAAGAATAAACCCAACTATTTTTTTTGGTGAAATATTATTTAAAATGATAGGAAAAATCATTTGGATCACCATAAAGTCATTATTTTGTTATTTGGTAACATTAAATATAAACCTCGTTGTATACAATTATATTTTCTATCCTCTTACTATATAAGAGCTAATTTAACTCAAATTGAAACTAGTCACTGTATGTATTCTTCAATTTACATAGGCAAATCATCTATTGATTATTGAAATAATAAAAGACATAGTTTTTTTGAAACCACAATGGTATTATCTCAAGATTTATGCCTAAAACCCTTACCTTAAAAAGCATCCTGATGAAAGTAAAATGTTACTCCTCACACACAGTTACTGTGTGAAGAATGTGTAATTATCCAATTTTCCAGCAGTGGACAGTATTACTCTAGTTATCACTATCCAGTGACTAAGGAAAAGCCTGCTCAATATCTCAGGGACTGTCTGCCCCTTATTCCCTTAAACAGAGGAGGAGTCAGTAACATTGGTAACTATTCTGGAAAAATAATAAAATGCCTTTTGTTAAAAAAATAATTGTTATTCTTGGATGTCCAAGAACTACTCAGAAATCAACAGTTACATTAAAAATATGGCTCTTGTTTGATGTTGTGTTTTTAGTACATGGAACATAGCTATTAGCTTCAGAATATCCAATCATCACTCTCAAGTGCATCTTATGCATCTATAAAAATCCTTTCTCCTAGGAAAAGTTGACAATTTGTATAAGACATATACTGCCCTGAAAATAAATAAGTTAATAAGAAATATAATATCTTGATAATCAGTGGCCCAGTCCCAATCCTGGGTTTCTACAAACTAGCTCTGCAACCCCAGGTAGATCATCAGTCTTCCTGATCTTGGTCATCTCCTGCCTATAAAGAAACTACCTACATTATCAATTGTGAAGAACTCCTACACTGATGCTTGTGCTTTTCTGACTCTCTCAGGACAAACTAAAGCAAAAAGCCCTTGGTACCCTTGCATAATCCAACATAGGTGTATTTGTTTAATCTCCATCCAGAAAAAAAATGCCTTTATAAAACAGCTATTCCTTCCGTGATGAATCCAGAAACATAAGCTTCATCCCTCAGGGCAAGTATAATGGAAATAAAGCTGCAGAGCTAATAAAAATCAGGCAGTGGGCTCAAAATAGAAAGCCACTTCCTCTCCATTTTCTACCCTGCACAGCAAGCAGGGTATCTTGCCACATCAGAGAGTCTACTTTGCACTAACAGTTTACTTTGTGCTATGTATTCTTCTTCTTCTTCTCATTTTATAGATGAGGAAACTGAGGCACAGAAGATCAGTATCTATCTAGTCCATGGGTAACTGCTAGATCTGTCATGAATCAAGACAATCTAACTGGAAGGTCTATGCCATTAAAACTACCAGTAGAATCTGCCTATATATATAGGCAGATTCTACTTTTCTGGGTTCCATTCTGACTCACAGTACAATACCTGCATATGTCCACTGCCATTGACTAGATTTTGAATCAGGGATACAAAATAAGAGTAGCCCAGTGGAAAGGCCAGTGGTTCTCAACTGTGGGTCACTTGCTACCTCTAAAGGACATTTGGCATTATCTGGAGACATTAGTGGTTGTTACAATGGAGGGAGAGGTGCTTCCAAGATCTAGCGGATAAAAGCTAGAGATGCTGCTACACGTGTATCGATATAATGCTCAGGAAAGCCCCTCACATCAAAAAGTTACCCTGCTCAAAATGTCAATAGTATCAAAGTTTAAAACTATCCTAGAGTAAGAGAAACTGGGTTTGAATCTTACCTCTGCCACTTACCAGTAGTATGAATGAACCATTTGCTTAAACTCCCTGAAACTATCAGTATCCTCCTTTAAGGGTCATTAAAAATACCCAACAATTATGGATGTGAAAAAGAATGTATGCTTTTCAATTGAGAAACTATTTATATTTCCAAAGATAGTGCCATAAAGTAAAAACAGAAGAGGGTTTGGAATCAAAGTTGCAATTCTTATACCAACTCTGCAAGCCCATTTTCTTTATTAAAAGAGGGGTTGAGGAATTTCTACTCCACACACAATTTTCCTCAGAATTAAATAAAGAGTTCAAATTTTCTTATAACATTTGACATAAATATATCACTAAAATTGTTAACTTCTACTCTCCAAAGTAAATATATATATATATATATATATATGTGCATGTGTGTGTATAAATGTGTGTGCGTATAAATTATATATATATAATTTAGTATATATAATAAATATATATAATTATATATAATTATATTATATATAATTATATATATTTTATATATATACATAATTTAGTATCTGTGTGCAAACCTCACTCTCTACAAACCACAATTCCTTCTTTCCCAAACAAAGTTCTATTTAGTTTAGGTATCTATCCTTATGTCAGGCAGCCAAGTGCTTCAGGAAATGACTAAACCCCCCAAATTCAGATATGAGCCTCCACTAAATTGATCAAAGGTTAATAACATACTTCACAAGTTACAGAATTAACATCAGCCATGTGACCTGGTTCCGGCCGATATACTCAGGGGACTTTGGAGAGCCTGGTTCTAAGTGTCCCAAGAAGAGACAATCTCATTTTCCCCCTGGATGTTCCTTCTGTTTATGGAGCCAGAAACTGCTGCAAGACATTTTGCTACCAACTTCACAAATGACAGAACAGGGATATGGGCAAATCTGAAAGATGAAATTTGAGAACATAATTGAACAATTAAGTCATCTATGTAGGGTGCATTTACTTTGGACTTACTAAAATGTTTTTTAAAAAGTTCTTGTTAAAGCCAGCTTGATTCAAGGTTTCTGTAATGTGCAATCAAAAACATCCAAACTAATGCAAGTGAAGCCTGGGACCCTGACTCTGTACTACAGTTCGCTCATGTTGCTGCCTTTGTATAGGTTTCCTCACCTTTCCTGCAATAATTTTTTTTGGCCAACTAATTTAACAGTCACTATATAATAGAAATGGAGGAAAGCAACGTCTTTTTGCTCTTATACTCATTTACTTGTTTTTAAATTTGTGGTAAAAGCATACAAAATATAAAATTTACCACTTTAACATTTTAAGTGTACAGTCCAGATGGCATTAGGCACATTCACACTATTCTCCAAACATCACAGCATCCATCTCTAGAACTTTTTCATCTTGCAAAACTTTATTTCCTCTCCCTTAGTCTCAGACAACCACTATTCTACTTTGTGTCTCTAAGAATTTGACTACTTTAGGCACCTATGTAAATAGAAATATATAATATCAGTCCTTTTGTGACTGACTTATTCCACTTAGCATAATGTTCTCAAGAGATCTCTGTGGTAGCATGTGCCACAACTTCCTTTTTAAATTGAATATTATTTCATTGTATGTATATACATTATTTTGTTTACCATCCATTAGTCAATGGACACAAGATGCTTGTACTTTTTGGCTATTGTGAATAATGCTGCAATAGACATGTTCATAAATAGCAAGCTTTAATATAACAATCAATTTTTAATCTTTAATGCATACTTGATGGTTTAAATCAGGGGGTGGCAAACTCTACCTCTCAAGCCAAATCTGGCCTGTTATCTGCTTTTATAAATAAAGTTTTATCTGAATTATGCCATGCCCATTTGTTTGTGTATTGTCTGAGGCTGTTTTTTATTTGTTTGTTTGTTACAGTGCAGAATAGGGCACTTCTAACAGAGACCCCACGTTTTCAAAAAAATAAAATGCAAAAAATTAGAATGCAAATTCTACTCCATCAATCAACTTTAAGAACTTCCTTAGTTTCCAATCACATGCAAGATGGTGAAAATTTATGATTCCATTCATACCTTTTTATCTCTACATCTCTAAACATCACCTACAGTAGCCTTTACTCAATCTCAAGTGCATCACTTCCTTTAAGAAAGCTTTCCTTAATCTTCAAGAATCTTGCCTAGCATAAAGTAGCTATCTAATGTTCATTTAATAAATGAATTAATTAATAAAGGTTTGGTTTTTGTTTTTACCTTTTTGTTCCTATGTGTTTGAATGATGGCGTAAGCTTCCTGAAAATGCCAAACCAGAAAATACCGATGGATTCCATTACCTTTAGGTTCCTAAAATTTAGAATAGTCACTTTAAATGAACCTTTTAAAGGTGGTTGGACTGTTTCTGATATTTAGCTTATACTTTTAATTTTGTGTTTTAAAATTTTGTGTTCTTGATACAGGTATTAAGTATTATACAAGAGTGTAGGTTCTATTTGTAGTTTCCTTCATTTTCCTAAAAAGCAAACTGCTGCAGATTATTAGAAATAGGAATTAATAACATGTCAATATGCATACATTCATATAAAATACATATATGATAAAAATCTATTCTATGTATTACTTCTCATGAACAGCAACATTTATGGTTCTTAAAATACTACTATATTATTCAGAGAGTTAACTTTTATATTTTTTTATATTTAAACTAGTGAGGCTATTGAGTATTATATCTAGAGGAAGAACTATTTAGTTTCCTAAGTTTTTAACCATATAATGGTGGAATTCTCTAATAAAGCAACCCTAGAAATAATCTTTCTTTAGACTAAGTTGTCTCCAAAAATAAAAGAAATACTTAAAAGGCAGTAATCTGGCGATTTAATGCAGAATGAAAGACCTTTTAAAATAAGACAGTTCTTCCAGGTCAATTAAAAGGTATTAATTCAAATAAAACTTTAAAGTTTTACTTTTAAGCAAAAGAAAAGTTTATGTAGAGACAGTCACGTTCAAACATGCCATTTACACACAATTCCAATACTATTTTGTCTTTTCTCAACTCTAATACTTGTATCCAAGAGGTCCTTTAAATATGCTAAAATTTTAGGCCTTGGTCCGCACCCCTCTGGAGCCGGGGTCCCCTCCCACCAACCACGCGAGCTCCACCCCCACGCCGCGGGGAGCCGACGGGTCAGGTGACCACGGGCCTGCGCGCCCTCCCGTTGTGGCCATGGCTGCCAAAGGCTCCAGTGTGGTGAGGCGAGTGGAGCAGCTCGGAGACCTGGCTCAGGCCCACATACAGCAGCTCAGCGAGGCGGCCGGCGAAGATGATCACTTTTTAATTCGGGCCTCTGCAGCTCTAGAAAAATTGAAACTCTTATGTGAAGACAAAGACTGTTCAAATCCATCAAACCTCCTCAAACTTTACACACAGGCTATTTTGGACATGACATACTTTGAGGAGAACAAGCTAGTAGATGAAGATTTCCCTGAAGACTCTTCGCAGAAAGTAAAAAAGCTGATCACTTTTCTTTCAGAACCAGAAATTTTAGTTAAAGAAAATAACATGAACCCCAAACACAGCGCTCTGCTAGGGGACGAGCTCCTGGAGTGTCTCTCGTGGCGAAGAGGAGCCCTGCTTTACATGTACTGTCATTCTCTGACCAAAAGGAGAGAGTGGCTCACCAGAAAGTCGAGCTTGCTTAAAGAGTACCTTGTTGATGGAATCAGTTACTTGCTACAGATGCTAAATTATCCGTGTCCTACCCAATTAAATGAAGACGTTTCTTTCCAAGACCTAGACACAGCTAAGTTACTGAGTGAAGGCATATTCAGCAACATCCACCTGCTGGCCATGATGTACAGTGGAGAGATGTGTTACTGGGGGCTGAAGCACTGCGGGTCCGCAGCCCGGAGACCAGGAGGTGGGCACCAGCGTTTCTGGAGCGAGCCACATGACACACAAGGAACCCTTGGACTTCCGAGAAGTGGGAGAAAAAATTTTGAAGAAGTATGTATCTGTGTGTGAAGGACCCCTGAAGGAACAAGGATGGAATACAACAAATGCAAAACAAGTTTTAAACTTCTTTCAGCATCGCTCTAACTAGTAAGTTCACCTGGTCTTTTTCAAACAAAATCAGAAAGACCCATGAAATGGAAACGTTCCAGAAAAGAAGATGCGTTGACAATGAACTTAAGAATGTCACACTACATACAGATGTCCAGTGTGCTGACCCTTTTCGAAATGCTACCACCGTGCTTCCTTATATATTCGTAAATGTATGAAGGAACAGTTCTTTCACTTCTAAAATGGCATGTGTGTTATCTTAACTCAGCCTGAACTGCAGATGTCCTGTAACTAATACTAAGGAGGAACCCAGTTCACCTTTGCAAAGACTTTTTTCTGTTACTTCAGATTTTTTTTATTGTGGTAAAATACAACAAAATTGACCATTTTTACTATCTTTAGATTATTTTTCTATCTCTGTACCATGAAGCCTACTATGCTTCATAGGGTTAAAATCAAGTAACCTCATTGATTTAGATGTATGCTACAGATGTAAAAATTGGCAAAAGCATGACAAATATTCAGATTCCATTTCCAGAATAAGGTAAATAATGAAAGACTTGCCCTGACTGGTGTGGTTCAGTGGATTAAATTCCGGCCTGTGGACCAAAGGGTCACTGGTTCCATTCCCAGTCAGAGCACATGCCTGGGTTGCAGACCAGGTCTCCAGTAGGGGGCACTGGAGAGGCAACCACACACTGATATTTCTATCCCTCTCTTTCTCCCTCTCTAAAAATAAATAAATAAAATATTGAAAAAAATAATTAAAGACTTCATTAAAAACAAACAAATAAATAAATAAATAAATATGCTAAAATTTAGCAATGGTGTATAGTAAAAGTCAAGATGAAAAAAAGACATGTGGCAGTACCATTGGAGGGGCAATGTTATATTACTATTTGGGTTTATTAAATTTTAAAATATTATAGGTCTTATTCTCTAATATATAGCATGCCAAACACACACTGAGAATTTATGTTAAATTATTATTTTTAAGCATTTTTAAAATTTAATCATTGTTCAAGTACAGTTTTCTGTCTTTTACTCCCATCCCCACTCATCCCCCCAGTGCTCCCCACTTCCCTCCAATTTCCACCCCCCCTTAGTTATTATACATGTGTCCTTTATACTTGTTCCTGTGAATCCTTCTCCTTTTCCCCTGAAATTCTCCCCCCTCTTTCCCCTGGTCCCTGTCAGCCTGTTCTGTATTTCAGTGTCTTTGGTTACACTTTGCTTGCTTGTTTGTTTTGTTGTTTAGGTTCCTGTTAAAGGTGAGATCATATGGTATTTGTCTTTCAACACCTGGCTGATTTCACTGAGCATAATGCCTTCCAGTTCCATCCATGCTGTTACAAAGGGTAAGAGCTCCTTCTTTCTTTCTGCTGCATAGAATTCCATTGTGTAAATGTACCATAGTTTTGGGATTCATTCGTTCACTGATGGGCACCTAGGTTGCTTCCAGCTCTTGGCTATTGTAAATTGTGCTGCTATGAACATTGGGGTGCATAGGTTCTTTTGGATTGGTGTTTCACAGTTCTTAGGGTATAATCCCAGCAGTGGAATTGCTGGGTCAAAAGGCATATTTGATTTTAGTTTTCTTAGAAAATTCCATACTGTTTTCTGTAATGGTTGTACCAGTCTGCAACCCCACCAGTGAACTAGGGTCCCCTCTTCCCTACAACTTCTCCAATGTTTGTTGTTTGTTGCTTTATTTATGATGGCCATTCTGACTGGTGTAAAGTGGTATCTCATTGTGTTTTGGGAGAATTGGACAGCTACGTGTGCAAAAAAAAAATGAATCTTGAGCACCAACTTACACCATACATCAAAATACATTCAAGGTGAATAAAATACTTAAATATAAGCCATGACACCATTAAAACCCTAGAGGAGAACATTGGCAGGAAAATCTCAGATATTTCATGCAGCAATATTTTTAATGATATGTTTCCTAGAGCAAGGCATATAAAGGAAAGAATAAACAAATGGGATCTCATCAAAATTAAAAGATTCTGCATGGCTAAAGGAAACAGTATTAAGATAAAAAGAGAACCAACTGTATGGGAAAACATATTTGCCAATGATACCTCAGACAAAGGTTTAATCTCCAAAATATACAAAGAACTCACACGACTCAACTCTAAGAAGACAAGCAACCCAATTAAAAAATGGGCAAAGGACTTGAACAGACACTTCTCCAAGGAGGACATACAGAGAATCCAGAGACACAGGAAAAGATGCTCAATATCACTAGTTATCAGAGAGATGCAAATTAAAACCACAATGAGATACCACTTTATGCCGGTCGGAATGGTCATCATAAACAAAGCAACAAACAACAAATGTTGAAGAGATTGTAGGGAAAAGGAGACCCTAGTTCACTGTTGGTGGGATTGCAGACTGGTACAACCATTATGGAAAGCAGTATGGACTTTTCTAAGAAAACTGAAAATGAATATTCCTTTTGACCCAGCAATTACACTGTTAGGAGTATATCCTAAGAACCCTGAAACACCAATCCAAAAGAACCTATGCACCCCAATGTTCATAGCAGCACAATTTACAATAGCCAAGAGCTGGAAGCAACCTAGGTGCCCATCAGTGAACGAATGAATCCCAAAACTATGGTACATTTACACAATGGAATTCTATGCAGCAGAAAGAAAGAAGGAGCTCTTACCCTTTGTAACAGCATGGATGGAACTGGAAGGCATTATGCTCAGTGAAATCAGCCAGGTGTTGAAAGACAAATACCATATGATCTCACCTTTAACAGGAACCTAAACAACAAAACAAACAAGCAAGCAAAGTGTAACCAAAGACACTGAAATACAGAACAGGCTGACAGGGACCAGGGGAAAGGGGGGGGAGAATTTCAGGGGAAAAGGAGAAGGATTCACAGGAACAAGTATAAAGGACACATGTACAATAACTAAGGGGGGTGGAAATTGGAGGGAAGTGGGGAGCACTGGGGAGATGAGTGGGGATGGGAGTAAAAGACAGAAAACTGTACTCGAACAATAATTTAAAAAATTTTTAAATAAAGAAATTTTTACTTGATAAGGTACTGAGTTGTGATGACTGGAGAGAAATAGGTGCTGGCCAGAATGCTATTTGTTATAGTGCACAAAATACTTCTGATCCCAACAAAGAGTGACTTCAAAGGACCAAAAGGAAGTACCCCTCTTTATTTTTTTTTAGTCATTATTTATACATGTAACAAATACTCATTTTTATGGATCAGAACACTTGGATGCTTTTTCTGGTTCTGTTGTTATTTGCCTCATAACAATCTCTTAATCACTCTTGAATCCCTTTACCTCTATTTAAAGTGAATATAGAATAACATCTTTTTTAATTGTCTCCATTGTCTGTCAATTATGGGGAATAGTATTTGGGTATCATGTTTTGAAGATAAGGGAGCTGAGGCAAACAGAAACTACATATTTGTCAACTCTTACAGTTGCAATACATGGTAGATCAAAACCTTGAACTCAAATCCTTTCTTTTTTATTTCTATCTTCAGCATAACCAGAAAATATTTCCTCAACATAGTTTTCAACTAAGAAAACTATAAAACATCATTAACCCAGATTTAAAAGACTCAAAAAATTAAAAGATATTTTATATTCATGGATTGGAACAATCAACACAGTAAAATGGTCATATTACCCAAAGCAATATAAAGATTTAATGCAATCCCCTTTAGAATTCCAATGACATTTAAAAAATAGGACAAAAATTCATCAGATTTGTATGAAATCACAAAGATCCTGAATAGCCAAGGCAATATGAAAAGAAAGAACTAAAGTGAGGTATCACACTCCCTGACTTCACATTATGCTATAAAGTGACAATAATCAAAACAGCATGGTATTGGCAGAAAAACAGACACACAAAACAATGGAACAGAATGGAGAACCCAGAAATAAACACACATGTACATGGATAAATACTTTTTGAAAAAACAGACAAAAACATACAATAAAGAAAAGAAAGTCTTTTCAATAAATGATGCTGGGAAAATTGGAAAGCAATATGCAAAAGATAAAGCTAGACTACTATCTGTCCTTATATACAAAAATTAACTCAAAATGGATCAAAGACCTGAAACAATAAGTTACATAGAAGAAAACATATGTGCTAAACTTATGGTCATTGGTTTTAGAGAGGCTTTTATGAATTTGACACCAAAAAAAGAGAAGGTAAAAATAAATGAATGAAACTATATCAAACTAAAAAGCTTCTGTTCAAGAAAGGTAAACACCAACTGCCCTGACTGGTGTGGCTTTGTTGGTTGGGCATGATTCCACAGGGCAAAGTGTCACTGATTTGATTTCTAGTCAGGGTACACATCTGGTTTTCAGGTTCGGTGCCAGGTGGGGGCACATGCAAAGAGGCAACCTATTAATGTTTCTCTCTTACATTATGTTACCTTTTCTCTCTTTCTCCTTCCCTTCCTCTCTCTGTAAAAGTAAATGAATAAAGTATTTTTAAATAACTGTCAACAAAACAAAAAGGCAACCAATTGAATGTAAAAAGATATTTGCAAACAATACCACTGATAAGGGGTTAATATCCAAAACATATAAAGAACTCATGCAACTCAACAACAAACAAACAATCCAATTAAAAATATGCAGAGGACCTGAAAAGACACTTCTCCCAAGAAGACATACCAATGCCCATCAGATGTATGCAAAGGTGCTCAGAACTATAATGAGAGACCACCTCACACCTGTTAGAATAACTATAACATAATCAACAAGACAAGTAATAACAAGTGTTAGGGAAGTTGTGGCAAAAAGGAACCCTCATTCATTGCTGATAAGAATGTAAACTGGTGTAGACACTATGAGCAACAGAACGGAGGCTCCTCAAAAAATTAAGAACTGTGTTACCATATGACTCAGCAACACCTCTTCTGGGTGGTATATATATATACCACTATGTTAATCTCAGCATATTCACAGGGACCAAAACATAGAAATAAGTGAAGTGTCCTTTGATAGATGATTGGATAAAGAAGATGTGGCAACATATATACGATCACAGCAATCTCACTGATAAAGTCTTTCATTCAAATTTTTGGGGTTTTTTCTTTGGGGTGGGTAAATCAAATTCAAGAATAATGGCATAGGGATTCTTTTGCTAGAGGAGACAATCTGACTGTAACTAGGAGGGAATGGGGAGGGGGCAATAGGGGGTAGGGGAAAAGGGTTTTCAATAACAACTATAAAGGACACATGGACAGCACCAAGAGGGGGGTGGGAGCAGGAGAGGGAGGCGGAAAGTGGTGGGGAGGTAAATGCATACAACTGTACTTGAACAACAATAAAATATTAAAAAAATATTTAAAATAACAAAAATTGTGTTGAGGAAAACAGATTCGACAACAACATTTATAAAGTGGTGATCTGAGGTTTACTTTAAAAATATTATTGCTGTGTTAAGAAGATCGTACAAAAAACCCTCT